GGGAGGCGGTGATGATGACGACGGACCTCGTCTTCGCTCCCTGGGGCTCGTGCCGAAGTGCAGTGGCCCCAAGGAGCGAAGACGAGGCCTGTCGCTGCCTGCCTGGGGCTCGTGCCAGAGCGCAGCTGCCCCAGGCAGTGAAGAGGAGGCTCGGGGGACCCCGAAACATAGTGCTCTCTCGCGGGCTCGAGGGACCCGGGGATGAACTCTCCCGGCCTTCCCCGAGCCGCAGCGCTCCTGCGTGGCCTCGGGGGACCCGGGAGCAGGCCTCGGGGGACCTGGGGGCAGGCCTCAGGGGACCCAGGGGCGGGGCTTGCCGCCACACGGGCTGCTGGGGCGGCACTCCGGAGGGCTCCGGGTCGAAAAGACCCCTGGTTTTAGACAATAATTGGAACTGGAAAATAGTTTTGTGACTTTTATAATTAAATGAAAACAAAATTAAATTTCTCTTCAAAGTCATATGAGGTGAATTTGGTTACCTCAAAGTGAAAATGATGAATTTTAAGCAGGCATAGTTGAATATCAAAGCTCCTTAAAATGTGTTCCACCACATGCTACAGAAATTGGAGAAATGCAAACATTTCATTGGACTTTGTAGAACTACTCATGCAATAATTCAGCTGTCAAACAAGTTGGATATGAACAGAATTGTCTTCGGTCTTTGCTTGGATCCATTCAAAATGGAGGAAGTCCATGCTTAGTCACTGCATCTGAAATGGTTTCATGTCACAGAATGCTGTATTAAAAATGCATCCAGACTACATTTGCTTAATGCTTCAAACTTTGTAAGCATTACAACTCTGTATCAATGCTTAGAGTTGGGCACTATAAGTGTTTTATCTTTTCATCACAACTGTCAAATATTTTGCCATCTTGGGTCCTTTGGGGGACAGATGAAACAAAAATGTTTTAAATAAATAAATAAAATTTCTTGATCTAATTACTTCCTTGAGGAGATAGTAGAACAAAATGGACTCATTCAGCGGTGTACTAGTATAGTTACAATAGAAAGCATCTGAATAAATCCAATCTGGGTTTTTTTGTGTGGAATTAGAGGCACATTGCTAATACTAGCTTACTGGACTGGGTTACTCAACTATAGTTATACCTAATAGGAGTTTTTGTGATATGCCTACAAGAAAACAAGTTGTCATATAACCAAGAAATAAAAAGACAATTTTAACAGTTCCTATATGCTTGAATACAGGCAACGTCATGGAAATGTCTTGGCCTCTATGCCATGTTGTTGGTCGTCCAGAGGAACTGGTTGGCCACTGTGTGAGACAGGATGCTAGACTAGATGGACCATTGGTTTGATCCAGCAGGGCTTTTCATATGTTCTTATAAATATTTTCCATGTAACCCAGGGGTCTCCAGTGTGGCACTTATGGGTGCCATGGTGCTTGCTTACACCTTTCCTGGTGCCCACTGAGTGTTTTTAGAAAGTGATAGGGCTAGGTGGGACTTTTGGCTAGCACGGTTTATGCTCGGCCACAGCTGATTGGCTGTGCAGATTTTAAAACACACTGCCTTGGCAGTAGCTGCCACCGCACCACAATGATCTTTACCATATGACTGATGGTAAGCTATATGTATGCAAAAAAATATTTTCAAAAATATGTTTGTTTTAGAAAGCATTCTGTTAAACAGCTCCTGGCTGAAAGGTTGAAGGGTTACTATTAAGCATGGCCTCATTCCCTGACATATTATGGTTGGCTCCACCTATTGTGGCAGCCGTTTTGTGATTGTGCCCACCAACCTATGTGAAAATTCCAAAGATGCCTGTAGGCTCAAAAAACTTGGGGACCTCTGGTCTAGACTTTAAGAACATGCATTCCATTAAGTAGGGCACTTGGTGTGCTAAATGTTATTCTAAGGAGATCTTCTTCTCCACATTATACTTTACTAGGGAGCAAAGCTTGTTGTGGACGGAGACAACGGGCGCCTAGACAGGTAGGGTGGGTGAGTGAGTGGGTGGGTGAAGGAAGGAAGGGGGGAGGGAGGGAGAAAGCTTCCTCCGTCTGTACGGGCGGGTTGGCGAAGGGGGCGGGGGGGGGAGGGAGGGAGAAAGGAAGGAAGGAAGGAAGGAAGA